GTTATACTCGTATCGAATCTTAATGAAAACGTAAGTTAATAAACGAAATTCTACTTTAATATTTTAGTTTTCTTGAAAGATAAGATAGAAATTTGTTTTATTTTTATCTTTTAACTAATCTATCTTATTATGATTTTTATTTTTATTCTTTCTATTCGTTTCTTCTTTATTTTCTTTATTTTCCTCGTCCGGACGATTAGATGACGACTCCAGAGTCTTTATTCACGCTATTCGGTATGTGTTATCTTCTCTTTCTTTTCACACTTTATTATTATTATTATTTTTATTGTTTTTTCTTTAACTAAGAAAAAGATAGCTTTTATATTTCATATTTCTATTTTCTAATTCTTCAAATCATATCTCATGTCTTCTAAGTGGGTAACAAAAAACAAAAATTGAAAAGAATAATATAGAAAGTGAAATAGCGAAAAGATAGATAAATCCTTCATTGAGTAAATCTGATACAATTACTTATAATTTAAAGATTACATGTAGATGATAATCAACAGATGCATTCTAGTACATTAAACTAATATTAACTAATGATAAATTATCTAGTAGAAGAATCATACAATTTTTTTCCTATCTTGATATCAATAGAAAAAAAAGAAACTTTATTAATCTGCTCATATTGAAATACACACTAACCTTTATGGTATACAGTTATTAAAAAGTATCGAATTCGTCTATACCAAAAAAACGGTAATCTTTCGTACTTTACGATATATATCAATAAAACTTAAAGGCATTGTTCAGAATACTATTCTTATCGTTAATTTCACTTTCTATATTTTTTTCATCAAATTCAATATACATATAAAACAAAAATAGCAATTAATTTTGACATATATATAATAAATCTACTCTTAGGTGTCTATGGTGATGTGCATCGGGTAAAAATCTTATTTAATAAAAAAGATTCAGCATTAATTCAATTTGCTACACCACAACAAGCAGCTATTGGTATGTACAAAGAAAGAAATTACAAATGAATAAGAATATATATCTGATTTTATTATAGCTCATCAAAATCTTGATCATATAACAATGTTTGGTAAACAAATAAAAGTTTCATTTTCTAAACATCAATTTGTTCAAATGCCTAAAGATGGTGCTGCGGTATTAAACAAAAATCCTATAAAATAAATTATTTTCTTATATGTAAATCTATTTTCTAGGATATGGGTTTAACAAAAGACTTTACAAATTCACCATTACATCGTTTTAAAAAACCAGGCTCAAAAAATTATAATAATATCCATCCACCAGGAAGTGTACTTCATTTATCTAATATACCGTAAATGTTTAATTTTCATATGTATCAAAAATATTTATTATAATATTTTAGAAATGAAACAAGTGAAGAAGAAATACGAAATATATTTTCTCAATATGGTACAATAAAACGATTTAAATTCTTTGAAAAAGATCGTAAAATGGCTTTAATTGAAATGGAATCAATTGAAGAAGCGATTGCCGCATTAATTGTAAGAATTAAAATTAAATAAATTTCTATATATATCTTTTCTTCTGTTTTTATTTAGAATACGCATAATTATCGTTTAGCAGATTCAATGCATCTTCGAGTATCATTTTCAAAGAGCAAACTGTAAATATTCAACTACTGATTTGGCTCTTTCACATGTTTTACAAAAAAAAAAAACTTAAGTCAATATGATTCTTTTTGTTAAAGTTTGTTTTCAATGACAACTTGCTTTTGTTTTCTTTTTTTTGTCCGTCAATTTGTTTTTTTTTTCTTTCTCTAACGTAACCTAACTTGTATTGTTGTTCTTTCTTTTGTGCTATTGTCTTCACTTGATAAAAAAAACAAAGAAAAGAAAATTATTATGGCATGAGGGAATAATGAAACAAATTAATTGTAACTTTAAAGTAGGAAAATATTTTCTAACATATTAGATTAGTTCGACTAATTACTTTTTCGACAATATGATATTCAATAAATATTATAATCATATATGATAGATTAGAAATTATTTCAATTCAAACTTATTATGAGAAATGAGTACGAACATTTGAAAAGTTTTGATCAGAAATTTGAATATAAAAGAGTATCGATTTTGAATTAAAAAACATAATTCAAATGGTTACTTATCCCTTTAAGTACCAACGGGGCCTATAAGCCCCACTCTTTAAAATTTGACAAATTCTGAATAAATTGCGAATGCGAAACAATATCGAAGTGCACTTGTCATTGTGGCATAGGGGACATGTAGGTGCTTGTATTCGCGCGGTATTTATCATTTTAATAATCCTTCAAGTACCACCGTGCCGTAAGGGGGTACGGGTATTGATCGAATATGACCTCGAAAGTTTTTTAAAAATTTTCAATGAAAATATTCACAACATACAATATACATGTTAGAAATAAAGTCCTAACAAAGTTTCATCCATTGGCTGAGCTATGGTACTTAAAGGGTTATATTGATGTATGCAGCATAGACGGCGCAGCGTCAATTTTTTAGGGGACGCAATAAACTTTTAGATAAGATTGTATAGTGTACATCCGTTCACATACTGATGGGTTCTGCACATGGGTGACGCAATTGCTGGCGCGCCGTCCATGGTATGTGGAGATGAACAATTTCAGTTTACTGATTGCAACACAGTGTACACCGAGAGGCTAACGTTTACTCATGTCGTAGACATATTTATATCGGTGCTTTCAGTGTTACAGCGGATTCACTGATATTGATCGTCCCTAATTTTATTCACGTGACATTTACACAATTCCTCGGCCAATATCATGTCAATTGTTTTTGTGTTTTTTTTTATGGATAATTTGTCTAAGAAGTCACCGAGATCTCTTCTATTTAGATCGATATGAAATCGATTTCCTGTAGGAATTAAAAGATTAGCTACATTGTTCGTATCTATTTTATATTCCAATAGAAAATATATATTTGTCTTTTCTTCTCCCTGTTTGATCCTGCTTAGTGAGCGTTTCTTACTCAATTCTTCGACTGATATATTCTAAAAGATAACATATACAACAATATTTAAACAAGTAACATAAAATGTTCTTTCTTTTCATTCAAAAAAAAACTATTTAACTTTCTACATATTTTTTTAATCAATTACTGATTAAACAGTGCGTTCATGATGAAAAATATTATTGTATAAATATCTCATGGGAAATATGTTCTCTATTTTATTATATAATTCTCGATTTAGTTAAGTATACAACTCATTGTTTTGTAATACAACATCTAATACTGGTAAGAATTATATGATTCTAAACTCATTAATAATTATATTATGACACGCGTTAAATAATCAAAAAATCATATGAAAAACAGTAGATGTTTGTTTTTGAAGAATACTATCTTAATCAATAAATTGTCAGCAATCTGCAAATAATTAGCCTCTTCTTTTTTTTTTCTTCGTATTCAATTATGTGCTGGTGTTATATTCTGAGAAATTACTCCATAACTCAAAACAACAAATGATACAGTTACTTTTCGATCTATTTTATTTACAAGTATCGAATGACTTTATAGAATTTCTAATATTTCTCTATAATTAATAATTCTCTTTTTCTTCTTCTAGTTTGTCATGCAATTCAGTTAAATATTGATCAAAAATGACGTGTTTTCTATGAAACCGTCATCATAATATACAAACTCATTATTAACATATATATATAACTTTCTATATTTCCTATCAATCTTCCTTTCATTTTTCCAATCTATATTGGACAATGTCATTCCCATTTGCGCGAAATAACAACACAGATGCTATATACATACAAGTTATTAGTTTTTTCTTTTCTCTCTCTCTATCTCTTTCTGTCGCTCTCTCTCGCTATATATATATATATATATATGTGTATAGATATTCAATCAATGACAAACAATCTAATGTTATTATGGAAAAGATGCTTGATTAACCATTCATTAGTGGAATTGTTTGCCTGATATATGATGGTCTCATCAAAATTTTTAAGAACACACATCATAAACAAATAATATTTACGTCAATATATGTCGGTGCCTTAGTTATTATTACTTTACATTTATAGGTTAAAAGCAATATGCAACGTACAGAATTAATTATTTTATTTTTACTTCATTCGTTTATTTTAATAATTGGAAAAGAATGTATTATATCTGAAGATGATTTAAAAACTCTTATTTGTTCAGATAATCAATACATAACTTCAAATTTAACATATTATCTTTCAACATTTTCAAATATTACTCAATTATCAATAATGCATTCATATTTAACTGCAATGCCAGATTTATATAATAATAGTCAAGTAATAACATTACATTTAGATAACAATCATATAGAGTTAATAACTGAAAACTATTCGTCAATTGAATATCTTTATTTAACATCAAATCATATATATACATTACATCAAACAAATTTACATTATCCTAAATTAAAACTTCTTGATTTAAGTTATAATCCAATTGAACATATAATACAAAATTTTTTTACTGAACAACAATTTCCACAATTAAAAATACTTAAACTTACAAATGCTTTAAAATATATCAATCCATATATACTCGATAATAGATTAATATCATTTTCTCCATTAAAATATTTAAATGAAATTTATTTTGATGAAAATGATCTAGAAGAATTCTCTTGTTCAAAAACTCCAACGTATATTCAATGGAATTTACCAATAAATTTAAAGAAAATTTCGTTAGCAAAAAATAAATTAATTTCATTTGATACGAATTGTTTTTTACAAATATTAAATATAACTGAACTTGATTTACATTCAAATTTATTTAAGAATTTTTCGAATTCTACTCTTACTCTACCACATTTATCTAAACTTCGACTTGATTATAATTTATTTGCAAATATTCCATCGAATTTACTTTATTTATCACAACAATTAAATGAACTTGATTTATCAGCAAATCCATTAAAATTAAAAGAAATGAAATCAAGAAAACAATATGTATTTCCTCCTAGTTTAAAAATTTTATATCTTAATTTAACAACAAGTGATCTTTCATGTTTATTATTCGAAAATCTTATTGAACTTGAACAATTGCATTTAGTAAACTTAACAACAACGAAATTAAAGAATTGTATCTTTAAAAAACTAACTAAACTAAAAACGGTAATTTTTTAATAAGTTAAACTATTCAAATCGATGAATTTAGGTTAAGTTAAGTGGGCTCCAAATTTGAAGTTTACCATTTTCAGTTTTTCGGCAAATTGTAACGGTATGCTTCTTTTTCTTGAGTATCACCAGTCGACTCAGTACAGTCCAGAGTATTTATTAGAGCAATCAAAACCAGATGATTAGAGTTTTTCGCGAAAATTTGGACATCCGTAAACTCTAAACTTGAAGCACACTTAGCTTGACCATGAATTTATATATTGGAAATTATATCGTTTTTAATAGCCACTCTAGAGATGTTACTCATATCATCGATTAACTGACCGAGTTAACAAATTTGCATAAGACTTAATTTTTACAATTCAATTTTGTTTTCTTTTATAGCTTAATTTAAGTAATCATCATTTGAAAACAATCGATGAACAAGTATTTCGACCATTATTATCTCGAAAACACCTTGATAAACTTGATATAACTAGTCATTTTCTCTATTGTAATTCATGTTCTCTACGTTGGCTTAATGAATTTTTAAAATCTCAAAATACAACTCAAGTGAAGTATGTATATTCATTTTCATATATTTTATTATATCTACATATATATCAATTATTTAGTTGTCTTGATCAACAAAACAAACAGATTCTATTAAATACATTAGATGTATCACGATGTCGATCATCGTATGGAATTTTTATAACGACAGTGCTCGTTTTATTTTCAACAGTATTTCTTTTATGCATTATATTATTATTTTATACATGTAAACATCGAAAACTTCGATTTTCAAAGTAAATATATATTCTATTTTTTTTCATAAAGAAAGAAGAAAAAAACAAATCTTAATTTTCTGTTTATTAATTTAAGCTTTCAACCTGTTTATCATATGGTACCATTACAACATTATGAGGATCGTATTTATCAAAATACAACGGAAGATATGACAAATGATAATGTTATGCTTGTTACTTGATAAAATTTTGTTTATTTTATAAATCAAACACGTGATTTGTCTTATGAAAGATTACTGACTATTAGTATTTTCTTTATCATTCTTTCTTTGTATATATCTGTTTACATCATGGACGTATATTGAAATAAAATCGAAAAGAAAAAGAAATTTAGCTTTTTTATTTAACATCATTTATCATCTTATTTAGTTCGATTAACCACATCTAGAAATAGTAAGTTGTATTATAAGAAATTTATTATTCAAATAAAATAGAATAACCACTAGATATCATGGACGATCATAAATTATTTGTTGGTAATATGGCAGCACGTATAACACAACGTGACCTTTGGAGATTTTTTTCACCATATGGTCTTATTGATGAATGTGCAAAATTCCATGAATCATATGCATTTGTACGTTTTGTTCATGCTGATGATGCTCAAAAAGCACGTCAAGAAACACATGGTGCAATGCTAAAAGGTCGAAAACTTAAAGTTGAATTTGCTGCTACTATAAATAAAACAAATGCAATATCATGGAAACAACAA